AAGGGAGTATATAAAATAATAGGCTGAATTCTTTTAGAATGTCCTTGTCGTGAAGTCTCCCTCCACCAAGTAAAAAAGGAAATTGGGGATCAAGTGTGGTTTAAGCACTAGAGAGACAGGATAACTAAACATAGTGTAGTATTTATGTCTTAAATTGAAAAAAAAAACTGTAAATCACATAATTGGAATAAGGAAGAAAATGCAAATGTAGATATTTTAAATAGTGCAGTAGATAACAATATGCTACGTTCTGGAGGGATCACCACAGTATGGGCCAGAAGTGAATAATAGCCTTACGCTTATGATGGATATTGAGCAGTCAGGAGTGAAAACAAAAATCCCACGTTACAATGTAGTCTCAATGATTTAGAAGAAAAAATGGGTGTGTGTGTGCGTGCATGCCTGTGTGTGTGATTTATAAATTCTATAATTCAATGTTTTCTTCTTACCAATTTTCTTAGTTCCTAAAGACTGTAAAGCACACACTGTTCTGCTCTGACTTGTGTTCTGAAATGACTACTCTGAGTTTATTCCAGAAAGAACATGAAGCCAGAGGTCAGCCTACCATGAACCTTAAGCTTCAAGGTCTTCATAGTTTCTTCATGGGAGAAAGCTCAACAATGTATTCTGCCACACGGTTACACACTACTATAAAATTGGCGAAGTAAAACACGCATTTGATTAAGATCACTGTCTCTGCTGGGTGGTGCATGCTTTTAATCCCAGCACTTGGAAGACAGAGGTAGGTGGATTTCCGAGTTCAAGGCCAGCCTGGTCTATGCAAAGAGTTCCAGGACAGCCAGGGCTGCACAGAGAAACCTGTCTTGAAACACCAAAACCAAACAATCAAAACTGTCTCTCTCCACTCTTAAATTTGTACTGAATGAGGCCAGACTGAAGGAGCCATCTGTGTTCTGGATGCCACAAGTGTCCTGGTGCTGGAGTGACCACAGTGCAGACATGACATGAGATCACAACGCTGAGCTGAAAGAGGACACAGCATGGGTTCAGGGCTCTGGGGCCGGAGAGTGAAGAAATAAGAAAAGACAAAAACTAATTATCACTCTCTTCTCTCTACAGGAAATATTACAAAGTAATTCATATAAAGATATCATCAAAGACTTTACAACCCAAAAGACAAAAGAATTAAAAAAATAAAGATAATAAAGAAGTGGTAAGCTCCTCAGGTCCTAGCTATACCAATTTTAGGCATATACAAAAGGATTTGTAATCATGTCACAAGGACACTTGCTCAACTGTGTTCACAGCAGCTTTATTCATAATAGCCAGAAGCTAGAAATAACCTGGATGCCCCTCAACTGAAGAATGGATAAGGAAAATGTGGTACTTTTACACAATGGAGCTGTAAAAAATAATGACCTCATGAAATTTGCAGGCAAATGTATATAACTGGAAAAAATCATTCTGAGTGAGGTAACCCAGACCCAGAAAGTCAAGCACAGTATGGACTCACTCATAGGTAGTTATACAGGATAGGATAACCAACCTACAGTCCACAGCCCCAGAGAGGCTAGATGAGAAGGGGGCCCAAAGAGGGATGCATGGATTTCCCTGGGAAGAGGAAGTAGAAAAAGATCTGGGTAAACTGGGGGCAGAGATTGGGGGATGGTGGGATGGGAACTACAGGGAGCAGGTTGGAGTCAGGATGGAGGGGGAGAGTAATAAAAGAGACATCTTGATCGGGAAAGCATTTTGGATTTATGGAGAAACCTGGTGCCAGGGAAACCCCAAGAAACCCACAAGGATGACCCCAACTAAGACTCCTGGCAATGGTAGAGAGGGTGTTTGAACTGGCCATCTACTGTAAGCAGATTGGTGACTTCCCTAGTTGCCATCAGAGAGACTCTCCAGTAACTGATGGGAGCAGAGGCAGAGACCCACAGACAAGCACTGTGCTGCTCTGCGAGAGTTCAGAGGAGGGAAGCAGTGAAGGATTTTACAAGCCAGGGCATTCATGACGGACAAACCCACAAAGACACCTGACCTGAGCTCATGGTAGCTCATGGACTCTGGACCAACATGCATGGGACCGACCAAGCCCTCTGCATGTGTGCAGCAATCATGTAACGTGGTCTCTTAGTAAGGCACTGAGAGCAGTACCTCTCCCTGCAGCTTAGCTGGCTTTAGTAACTAACCTGTTCCCCATGCTGGATTACCTGGTCCCACCCCGGCCTAAGGGGAGGAGCTTGGTGCTGCCTCAACTTGATGTGCCCTGCTTTGCACCAGCCCACAGGAGGCCTGTCTCTTCCTGAATGGAAGCGGAGGGGAGTAAATGAGAAAGAGAGGGTACGGCTGGGAGGAGAGGAGGGAGGGAAACTGGTTGGTATGTAAAATAAATGAAAAAAAAAGTTATTTAAATAATTTTTTTAAAAAGGAGTGGTAAGCTATTAAATAGAAGCATCTTTTAGACATCTGTAGCATTTGGCAGCTTTGTCATATTTGAAATTTGTTGTATTCTTTGTGCATTTATAAATAAATATTTGTTTGTTTCTATTTGTTTGCCTGAATGTGTGGATGTAAAATTGTATAAATCTGTGCACTTCCAAATATCTGCGACTTACCCTTTCAGAAAACCAAAAATGCCACCATGAAAGATTAAATGAGGGCCTAGAGAAATGGCTTGGCAGCTAAGAGCTCTAGATGGCCAGGTGCAGCTCCCAGCACCCACACTAGGCAATGTGAGGGAATCGAATACTCTTCTGGCCTCGGAGAGAACTGCCTGGGAAATGCAGACATAAACCCATGCAGGCACACATACACACGTAAATAAAGAAGAAAAAAAATCACCAAAACTTTTTTTATTCTTTTTGGTTTTTCAAGACAGGGTTTCTCTGTGGCTTTGTAGCCTGTCCTGGAACTAGCTCTGTAGACCAGGCTGGTCTCGAACTCACAGAGATCCGCCTACCTCTGCCTCCCGAGTGCTGGGATTAAAGGCATGCGCCACCATCACCCGACCCCAAAACTTTTTTTAAAAAAGGATGAAATGACGAAGAATTGATACCAAATAGGGATGAAAACAATGCAATGAGTCTGAAATTAGCTTACTGGATGTAGTTGGTGTGAGAGAAAGAGGAATCTAACAGAGCCCTTTTGGGGTGATCAGAGAGGTAGAAGGAATCCAGTAGTCAGGGGATCACATCAATAGGGGTGCAGTCTAGGGGACAGGCTACAACCAAAGAAGCAGAGTAAAGACACCATCTACATGTAAGTGCTTACAAAGACAGCCAGGGACACACCGTGTGAGTCCACGGTCTACGCAGAGAGCAAGAAGAGAAGCTGAAGGGCTGACTTACCAACCCCTCCCTGTGTTGCTGGTGCACACGGGGAGGTGGAGAGGGGATCAGAGGAGAGGGCAGAGGGCAGAAGAGCCAGGAAGCAGTGGCTGTAGTGCGGGGAAATGTTTGGATGATTGCAGAGAGCACTGTTTCTAAATGAAACAAATTTGACACTGTAGGGCTCCCTCTGGAGAACTTCAAACAAAGTCAACGGGAAAGAAAGCCCAGGAGGCTGGCTGGAGGACTGAAGCCCAAGGCAACCCAAGAACTAAGGAAACTCTTTCAAGAATCAAGAACAGGAAAAACGTTAGAGGAGACCTCCTAAGAAAGTGAGGTCAAGGCTGGGCCAAGCTTGTTTTCTCTGTAAGTACTAGTGTGAAAGAAACATAAACCTGTCCTCTCCTTCAGCAATCCACTCCAAAGAACAATCCAAGTATCAAAAGGACAGTGGAGACATAGTTGATGGCACACTCATACAATGGCATAACATACAGCGATTAAATGAGGAGGCAATATATACACACTCCGACTATGCAGCTCTGTGCCGAGTTCAAGAACAGGAGTTCAAGAACACAGCTCTCGACATGGAAGCTGTAATCACCTGGTGTAGCTGCCTCAGGAAGCCTTCTGACGCACCGCAAACATTCTAAACCCCCCTCCATGACATAGACATTAAGTAAGTTAGACATATTAAGCTGTACTCTCAGTTTAGCCAATCATATGTTCCCTACTGTGCTGGCTAGTTTGCTGTCAACTTGATACCAGCCAGAGATATTTTGGAAGAGGAAACCGCAAATGAGAAAATGCCCTGTGAGTAAGCCTGTGTGTGGTACATCTCCTTGGTTGAAGACTGATGTGGGAGGGCACAGTTGTTCCTTGTGGGTAGTGCCACCCCTGGGCTGGTGGTCTTGGTTCTATAAGAAAGCAGGCTGAGCAAGTCATGAAGAGCAAGCCTGTAAGCAGCTCTCCTTCCTGGCCTCCACTTCAGTTCCCTCCTCTAGGTCCCTGCCCTGCTTGAGTTACTGTGGGGAGTTTTCTTAGTAATGGCCTTTTACCTGAAATCATTAACAGTCCCCACGTTGCTTTTGGTCATGTTGTTTTATCACAGCAATGGAAACCTAAGACAATTTTCTATGCCTTAACAATAATAAAAAGTTGTTTAAAAAAAGAATTAAAGCATAAAGACAGCCTTACTAAGGAAATAACCCTGAGCAAACTTACAAAATACTACGGAATCAAAACAAGTCCTGAGTTGGCCCTGATATCTGATGATCACAGCAGCAAAGGCCGGGGCAGCAGGAACCCAGGATCCTACTAAGCGGGTGGCAATAAGCAGCCCTTTCCTGGGGCAGTGCTGACAAGTGTTTCCACCTCAGTCTGCCGAACAGCCCTGCTCACATGCCACATCTTTTCATGGGTAACCTATCCTAGCCCGTCAAGTGGACCTTAAAAGAGATGAATATGGCTCAAAGTGTCAAAAGAACACAATTACTGATGGACAACAGAGGAGCAACTTAAGGGAATATTTACACCCAAAGCACACTGGGTATATGTGTGAGCCTCTCCTCAGACACCTGATTACTGTATAGAACAATGAGGTGACAACTGTTCGTTTTGTCTTTCAAAATAAAACTGTATTCGTCATTAGTAAACGTAGTTTTGTAAACACTGCGTGCTCATCATAAAAGGAAATCGTGCACTTACCATGTTGCCTGGTCCCAACAGCTGCAATGATCACTGGAACTGAGTTTGATGCTCTTTTAATCACTGGAATATAATTATCCTTTACTTCGTGGAATGAAAACTTGTCATTTACATTGTATTTTATCACAACGATGTCAGCACCCCCAATTAGGTTTCGGGAAGTGTACCAATCACTGTCAAAAATGTCCTAAACAAAAATGCAAACATCACCTTTTAGTTTGTCTATCTTCAAATCAATTCCCAAACTAATTGCCAGATTAGTTATAAGATACTGTCTAAATGTTTAGTGTATCTTGAGAAGGCATGCAAATGTATTTTTGAATACTATGGTGGTTTTAATGAGAATGGCCCCCAGAGAAATTGAATGCTTGGCTCCCAGTTGGTGGAACTGTTCAGGAAGGATTGGGAGGTGTGGCCCTATTGAAAGAGGTGAGTAACTGGGGGGAGGGGAAGGCAGGCTTTGAGGTTTCAAAAACCTAGGCCATTCTCAGCTAGCCTTCTCACTGCCTTGTACCTGTGAATCAGATGTAAGCTCTTAGCTACTGACCCAGCCCTATGTCTGCCTTCCTCTGCCACATTCCCTACCTGGTGATCATGGACTTACCCTATGGACCTGTGAGCCCCAATAAATGTTTTCTTTTATAAATTATCTTGGTTATGGTAATAGGAAAATAATAGCAGGAAAATAACTAAGACAAAAGGGTAACCACATAAAATTTAATATGTCTGATGCCTGATAATCTATTTAAAACACTTTTTCTTCACTACCCTAAACAACTATACACTAGTAAGACCCCACAGCTACAGCATTTGTTTGATGAAATGAGCAACCTCTGTCCATTCTCTACACCTAAAAAAGCACTCTATTTTGAAGTTATGCTGATTTTAGTCACTTGCAATTCCAAAGCTGTAACATTGTGTAGTCAAGGTCAGAAGCTTTCCTGTGACCCAGATATACACTGCAGGGCTTCTGTGTGTTCTCACACTGTGAATCTTGTACTCCTTTTACCTTATACACATTTGAAGAAATTAGTATATAATCTTTAACTTTATATTTGTATAGTACCCATTTGAGCATGGAGAAAATGTGACTCTATAAGACACATTGTACATTACAAGGCGTTAATTGTAAAGGTCTGTGTTTGCATTTTATGTATTGAGATCATATACTCAAAATTCAGGATAAAACTGTTCAGAAATTTTTACTATAAGACTATAGTTAATATTCATATTTAGAACTAGAATCATATGTAATTTATTATGGAACTTAGTTCTATGATAATATCTGCAAAGTTTTGTGAAAATAGCATATAAAGAAAATGCCATCTTAATTTCACTGCCAAATATGCACAAAAAGTTTTCTCCTTAAATTCTAGTTAATGATTCATCATTTCTTTCATTGGCCTTTTTCTAAGACATAATCAAGTTAGGAAACTGTTGGGTTATAGAATCTTACACTTTGGTATGTGAGCCCAAAAGGAGGTTAGAAGTGTTCAAATCAGCAGGCAAGCGAGAGGCTATGACAGACACGCCCTTGTGGGGCTCTTGTCCCATTTCCAGACCCTCAGCTGCCCATCTCTCGGCAAGCTTATTCAGAATGAGAGCTGCACTGCAGAACTTTAGACAGGGATATATCATCCAAACCAGAATGGATATAGTGTATTTGAAAGGAGTTCAAAACAACAGAGACAGAAAGGAAACTGAACTGTCAGTGGCAAAGGCAAAGGGCTGAGTGCGGGTTCTGCTACAGTGTTGGGGTGAGGAGAGAACTGAGCCCGTTGGTCCCAACTGTATCTACAAACACTCTGGTTCAGGATATGCAGAGGCAGCACAGCGTGGAAGCTGAAGGATCACAGAACAATAGAAGAGTCCAGCACATGGGATTCAAAACCAGTCCAGAGAACAAGTTAGAAATCATTTTTTTTTTTTCACATTCCAAATAGTTCAGAATTCCAGAGTTACTGGAGAGGCAAAACATGGCGGAAGGGGGATTTGGGTATTATTAATTTCCTCTGTGGTATTGAGGATAAAACAATTATAAACACTTTTATTTGTAATGCAATCCACAGCTGCAAACTGTACAAGAAAATATGAACGCATCATCTCACAGTTTATCTTTTATTCACTTGTTCATCTGTGGGCTTTTGAGACAGGATCCCAGTGTGTCTCACACTCACAACCCTCTCTCCTCTTCCCAATTGCTGGGATTGTAGGCATGAGCCAGGATGCCCAGCTAACCTGCTTTGGAACATACTTCTAACAGACAGAAAAATAAAAATCTAGAAATATGAAATTAAATAATAATATGACTGCAAAAGAGAGAGGTAGGCAGAACTAAGCTATGAACTTCATCTAATCATTTGAAGCTTCAAGTACACAAAGACAGCAAAGAGTCAGAGCAGGGGTAGCAAGCTACAGAACGCAACTCTGGGAGGGGAATACTTCCAGCTTCCTTTCAACTCCAAGGCAGCAGTGACATTTCTTTTTAAGTTGTCACAGCTCCACTGGTTTCTAGAAATCGAGAGGAAATCCATTTGTCCCACCCCTTGTAAGGCAGTTCCAGCATTTCACTGGGACGTTATGCAACAGCAAACTTGGAGCTACACTGGAGAATCAGATTCATCTTTACAAAAACAAAAACAAAAACCCGAGTTCCTACAAGGAAACAAGGACTTCATCCTATTCGACTAGTGTGTGCACTGAAAATCCTGCATTGGTGTAAATCTTGACTGACGAGAGCACCTCTCCCATGTTTAATATAAGCGACATATAACTACACTAAAGCTATAATGTGCACTTTATTGCAGCAGCCAGCACTCTTGAGACTTTACCCTTCAGCACCGCACCAGGAGACGGGAAAACAAGTCTGAGAGAAGGTGAAAATGTAGACACACACACACTATACATATACATTTTATATATATATATGCAAAGCAGGGATCTGAAATCAGTTCCTTTTGTTGTCAAAAGTGCTGTGTTTGATATTCTGATTCAGCATGTATGCCAATGCCAGCTGATTGGTTAAACCAATGTTCATACTTCTGGCAGAATTTACTTATTATGTTCAAGAGGAAAAAGCAGAAGCTCAGAAAACCTCTACGTATGTAACTCACTATGTCCCATCCTAGTATGGGACAAACTTGGTATCACAGACTGTGAGCACACAAAATGTGAATTCCCTTAGCACGCTATAACAGTCAGCAAGACTGCAAAGTGTGTTTAATCCATTCTGAAGATTTTTGTTTTATCTATTTTATTTTTATAAAATGAGTGCTTCTTTGCTAAGTGGACAAACACAGGAAGTAAAGGGTTAACTTGAAACTAGGAGAAATAATTCCAATATCCCAAGCCATCTTATTTTTATTTTCTCTGTAGTGATTTCCTCAATCCACTAAATGTTCATTCTACAGTATGCTGAACAAGTAATACTCTCAGGCTAGAAGCTCTTTCGTAGTTAAGGACCCAGAGTAAGCGTGCTTGCACAGACATCAGCCCACAAGCCCTCGCCGGAGGCTAAGTCCATTCTTTCAATTAAAAAGTCTACTTAAAATTTATTTTAGCACATTAATATCCATCTCCTGTCAAAGAGTGTTTTCCACAATAGGAAAATATGCTCGAGAAAATTTCCTCAGTACATGCTACATATTTCTGTTCCAAAGTATTCTACTTCCCCTTAGCTCTGATTCATTAAAAACAAACCTGCCCGTTTAATGAAAGAATCTCAAATAATTTATGCCCTTATAAGACCCAAAAGTTTCATAAGTATTATCTTTAACTGAGACAACTACAATGTTAGCAATGAATTACAAGTTTAAAAATAAGCAAAAACATTTGACATATAGTGTCACTGTGTTGTGAAGATATCTGCACGTCAAGGAGCTGACTCCTTTGTCCTTTCGTCAGATTTCTTTCATTCAACGATCATAAACATGAAGAAATTTAAAGTGCTAAGTAACATTAATGGTACTTCTAATTTATTAATCACTAAAAACAATGGCTAATGCACGAGTATTTGCATCATTAAAAACTAACCCCCCCCCCCCGCCCCCGAGGTTAGAAGTCTACAAATGAGCCATTTAAAATTAGTTCTCACACTCCGTCCTTTCTCCCTTTTTTCCATACTATTTCTGACCTCTCCCGGAAAAGAGTATTTTTGCCTATGTTGGGCGGTAAAGGGCGGTATTTATAGCACACACGTCCCTATCCTCCACAGGGTGGAACTTCGTGACCCTGTCCCTTGGTGTTAGCATAGTCAACTCTCAGCTGTCTACGTGCAGCACCACCGTAACTGCTCTACATTCCCCTGGGACTTTCTACCCTACAGACGTGTTTTGTGACAGGGCTGCTCCACCACCTCCAAACTGAAACAAAGGACGAGATTTGCCAAAAATGTTAACTAAAATAAAATAAAAAATAACCTCTCGCCAGGCCAATAGGAAACGAAGGGAGGAAGGATCCAAACGACAGGCTCCTTTGGCCTGCGCACCGCGCAGCCGCTGCCCCTTACCCAGACGGGACAGTCGTGCACCACCAGCTTGACGTTCCCGAACGCACTGGCCTGGTACTCGGTGAACACCGGGCGCGCGACCGTGCTGGCCGCGTTCAGCAACAAGCTGCTCTCGTCCCCCGAAACCAGCGGGCTTCTCCCCAGGTAGGTGCGGATGAGCCCCGACGGCCGGTTATCCTGGTGGAACGTGTCGCCCTCGTTCCCCAGCGCCACGATGTGGATGGACCTGCGGGGTCGAGAGGGGCGCGGTGAGCGGGTGGGCGCAGCCAGGGCGCGTGGCACGTCCGGGACCCGGACGGTGGCAGGACGGCGACGCGTACGTACATGATCGCGGCGGGCAGGGCGGCCTCTCACCGCAGGCAGCTCATCCCCGGCCGCGGCCCTCGCGCGCCTGCACCGCGGTGCTGCCGACGCAGAGCAGAGCCGGCCCGGCGCGGGCGGCCAGTGGGGGCGCGGGCAGCGCTGCGGATCCCCGGTCGCCGCCCCTGGTCGCCGCGCCTCCGCCCCGGCTCCGCCTCCGCCCCGCGGTGACCGGGCCCAGCACGTGTCCCCCCGCCGGGAGTCCGCCGCGCTGGGGAGCGAGCTGCCCGCCGAGCCCTCCTCGCGGTGCCCGGGCGGCGGCCGCGGGACACAAAGGAGCGGTGGTCGCGGGAACGACGCCGGAGCCCGGGAGCTGCTCGCCGCCAATCCGCCTGCAGCAAGTTTGCTCAACTCGGAAGACTGAAATCCGAGCCGGGAGCGGGGGAGGGGCGGCCTGGCCCCGCCGGGGACCAGAGGAGAGCCGGGCTAGGGAGCAGCCCCTGCCGATCCCGCGGTCCTGTGTCCACGCTGGCCCTCACCGAAAGTGTGTTATCGTTTTGTCAGTGGTCAACATGTTCTACAGCGGTTTTGTAAAATCCTATTTGCGAAGAAAAAAAAAATAATAAAGGCAACATTCAAGAAGCTGCAGAAAGAGTTCTTTGTTCACACACCAATTAATTTGCGGATGTCGCTTTGGAAAGGTCATTTACTATTGCAAGCTACATTTGGCATACTTTAATCAAAACTGCGGAATTTGAAGTGTCAGGATTTTTAATGTGATTTTTTTATATAAAAGAAAGATCTAGCAGTCTATTTGGATTCTTTTTAACACACATTCCAGTTACATTATTTATTAATAGCTCACTAAAAAATAAGGATCGTGTTAATATAAAGATACTTTAGATTCTTTCATGATGACACGCAGAAATAAAGTGTGTGGATGCCCCTTTTAAGGGCCTAAGACTACCTCCAATAGAAAACACCGTGAGAGACTGCTAAAGCTAGGACAGGCCAGGGCTTATCCTGGGGCTCCTCCATAACATTCTCCCAAACACCTCACACACAGTTAAAAGGGTTCTTGCTTGTCTTTTTAGTTATTTGCTCTGCTTTGAAATTGGGCTTTTTTCTGTTTCTCAATGGGCCTGTTCTGAGAGACAGGAGGTATCTGAAGGGGTCCTGGGAAGACGGAGGTAAGTTAGTGGCATCTGGAGTGTCAACTGCTTTTTTATTAGGAACCATCATCGCAGGGCTGAGCAGAGCACTAGTTTCGTGTCCACAGGGAGGGCTGGACAGGAGACGCGAACTCCTTTTTATTCCCTGAGATGGCTCTGCCTGTGCTGCCCAGGCTAGTTTCTACTTTAGCCTTCCCGCTCTATGGCATATGTTTCTATGCTCAGAAGGTCACCAACCTGCTCTACACAGGGACGCCAGAACAGCCAGAGTCACATAGTGAAACCCCGTCTCAAATAAATAAATAAGTCCCCTTTGTACCCAAGTACAGTTTCTTTTAGTCTCTGACAATAACCACCCTGAAAGATTCAAATGTGCTGAGCACGTTTCCTGCTGAACTACAGAAAACGTAATTTCTCACCATTCCCCTCCAGTGACCCACCAGTCAAACATAGCACTAGAGTAGATAAATAGACAAAGAATGATGCTTAAATATGATGAACTTTAAAAAATGTCTTCTCAGTGTATTGTCCAGGCTGACCTAGAACTCTAGGGCTTACTAAGCAGTCTTCCTATATCAAACTTCCAGAATAGCTTAGGCCATAGATGTTTAATGAATTACGAATTGGCTTTGGTAAATGAAGGTAAAGTTGTCTTGTCTTATACCATGGGTGACCCTAAGGACATCGTGCTACACAAATAAACCAGTATGAAAGGAGGAGTGCTCAATCATTCCAGCTATGAGCTACCTAAAGCTGCTGTGGAATAACTCTTCTGTACACTGTGCAGACGTGTTGCTCTCGTGTTTAATAAAAAGTTGACTGGCTGATGGCTAGGCAGGATTTTCGGGACAGAGAATGCTGGGAAGAAGGACAGAGTCAGAGAAGACATGATGAGATGCAGAGCAAGCAGGATGGGAAGTGCATACATGAGGTAAACAAGCCTCGGGGCAGCACATAGATTAATAGAAATGGGTCAATTTAAGTTACAATAGCTAGCTAAAAGCAAGCCGAAGCTACCAGCTGAGAATTTGTTATTAATATTAAGTCTCTGTGTGGTTATTTGGGAGAAGCTGCCAGGACACAAAGAAATTGCAGCTACAGAAAGTAGCCAAGGTCTTAGGGATAGGAAGTGGGACAGTATCAGGAGCGGGGGGGGGGGGGGGGGGGGGGGGGGGGGGGGGGGGGGGGGGGGGGGGGGGGGGGGGGGGGGGGGGGGGGGGGGGGGAAGAAAAGAGGTTATTCATGGGTGTAGAGTTACAGTTTTTGGAAGATGGAAAAGCTATAGAAATCAGTTATACAACAAAGTGCACGGGGGGGGGGGGAAGAAAAGAGGTTATTCATGGGTGTAGAGTTACAGTTTTTGGAAGATGGAAAAGCTATAGAAATCAGTTATACAACAAAGTGCACATAGCTAATGTGGCTTGTACCAATCACTAAATCATAATTAAGATAGTAATTTTTCTGTTGCTACTTAAACCACAATACAAAACGCATAAGAATACACAAAAAAGATACCAGATAGAGCTGGAGAGGGAAAGGGGAGACAGCATTCCTTGTCTCCTCCCCTTTAGAGTGCTTTAACCAGGCCAGGTAGACAGGGCAGAGAGTAAGATGGTAAGAAACACAGGACTTCCGCCATGCTCTGGGGGAAGCTAGGTCTGACAGTGTCTCCTAGATTCTCAGTGTATTTATTCTCCACATAATATACTCAATCTTTTTGGAAATGTGTTCTGTCCTTGATAATTCTGATATAAGCCTATGTACTCAATAGTTAATAGTGGTACATTCGACGGATTAAAAGTTGAATGAATGCCTAGTTCTGTGCTAAGGATCGTTAGGGAGAAGTCCAGAATAGAGTAAACAACATCTTAAAAGACAAGGGAAGCTTGGGTAGATTTGGAGGAAGAGGATGAAAGGGAAGGAATTTAGGAAGAACTGGATGGCATGGAAACATACAAGGTGGTGTTCTGAGAGCAGAGAAGTGAAGGCTGCTTCAGGCTCCTGTAGCAAGGCCAGCAGAAAACAGAGCGGGGAAGTCAGATGAGGTCCTACTCTGAATACAGGCTAGGCATCCCACTGAAGCCTCTCTCCAAGGAACTGTCCTTGCTGGGGTGAAGACATTCTAAAGAGGTACTTGCACCCTTCTCTTTGGCAAAGATTTTCTCCCAGGAATCTTTCTGGGAGAAGGAAAGGCTAAAGTGCTGACCAGATGAGAAACTTGTCACCAGGAAGAAATTTCGCAAGTTCAGACTACTTGTGAGTCAAGCTTTTGCTAGAGACTGGAACTGAGACAATGCCGACAGGGAGGAGCCCACTCTGGGATCTGTGCATACAACCCTTGCCCTCTCTTTAAACATGAACCTCATGCCTGGGCCTGAAGATGGACTTCGGGAGTTACTAGACCTCTTTCTTTATTAACGTTCCTAGGATGGTCACAGTGAACAAACCATTCTCTGCTTTTCAGCATTACTTGTCTGTCTACTTGGCCTTCTCGGGACTGGTTTCTGAGCCTGTGTTAGAGCTGCCAAGGCCGAGGCTTTGTTCCTAACAGCTGCGGTAACACCCTTCTCTCCATGGGACATGACTGCTAGATGCTCACCAAACCCATTTTCACTTCCAAAATAAATGATTTAATTTTCTAAACTTCTTGGATATATGTTCAGTCATGTGATTCACCCTCGCCAATGGCATATAACCCTGATGAACAATTAAGAAAAGGTTTGCTTGCTGGGTAGTGGTGGCGCATGCCTTTAATCCCAGCACTCAGAAGGCAGAAACAGGTGGATCTCTGTGAGTTTGAGGCCAGCCTGGTCTACAGAGCTAGTTCTAGAACAACCAAGGCTACACAAAGGAACCCTATCTTGAAAAACAAAAACAAAAAGAAAAGAAAAACAAAGTATGCCCCTGTAAAGGGGTGGGGGAGTGTACCTCCATTAGACACCATAAACTATCAAATAAAAAGCCCAGTGTCAAGTTTTGAGTTGTGGTCAATAGGTTCCCATAGGCCTCCCCAGTCATTATAGGCTATGGCCATTCCTCTTAGTTACAATCCCAAACTTGATGGTAAGATCCTACTTCTAAAGACACCACACGTGTGAGTCATGGATATGGAGAAACTAAGCTAGTACTGCCTCAGAAGTTTTGTTCCCTTGGGGTAGCTTTCAGGACGCTGGAAGGTTCTATGCACACACTGGGAGAGAAAAATCACCAACAGCCTTGCACACCTGGGGACCTGGGGAGCTACAATAATGGCTGACCTGGCAAAACACATCCACTGATAAAATAGTGAGATGGGTGTCTTAAGAGTAACCAGCCACTTTCTAGTGGCTAAACATGTTGTGACAAACTGCCCCTTAGTTCTTCTCTTTATACCCATAGATCAGTATATATCAACCCTCATCAGAGAAGCTTATTTTTACAGTAGATAGCAACACAGAGATTCACAAAAGAGCAACATTCAGAGACTAAGAGACTGTAGAATGCTCAGCTCTAAATGGAACGTCTATGTCACACTCCTTCACCCAAAATTCAGAAGTCATCGCAGAAGTGGAGTGAGAAAGCTGGTAAGAGAAAGGGAGTAGATGACAGTAGCAAGACGTCAGAGTGGCACACAGCCGTCACACACGTGACCTCGGCGGAGCTGGGACAATCTCCGTGTGGATGGGAGAAGGGGTTCATGAAGTACCACTCTCATCTGAAGAGCCCTGAGAGGTGGCCCCACCCTGTGCAGTCAACAGGAAGAGAACTCAGCAAGTATGCGGAGGAGTGAGAGAACATGAAGTTGCAGGGGGAGAAGTCTGCATGGAGAGGGAAGGGGGTAGATTTGATCTAAACACATATGCATGTCTGAATATTAAGTAAAAATAGCCTAAATACAAAACAACGAAAACTTACTTTAAAAATACACACAAAAGAAAAGGCATGTTTTCTCCACTTTCTTTGTTCTTCCATCTGCCAATCTGCTGAAGCTAGTTCAGCCTTGAAGCCACGTGTTTAAAGATCTTGGCACCAGTGTGGCCCTTGCGGCAGAGCCTCCTCACAGCATGCATTGTACTGTGCTATAAGTGGGAAATAGATCTTTCTTGAGTTTAGTCAGACGTTTTGAGGTCAATTGCTACAGTAGCTGCTGATACTTGTCTTGAC